ATATATATATATATATATATATATTTGATTGTGTAAAACATAAAAATAAATAAATAAAAATTCTATATAAATATCTAACATAAGAAAAGATATAAACAGGGATATTTATGTCTTTGTACCTTTTTAAAACCTTCTCTCTCTTCTTTTGTTTCCAATTTGAATTGATCAACTTTTTTGATGGACCATTAAAATGTTTTATTTTCTTTCTATATTTTAACACACCAAATAGAGAAAGAATCACAAATTGACATGTTTTCTTTCCATCATCAATCCCTCTCTCTCTTTTCTGTAGCATCAGATTTTAGCAAAAAAAAATGAAACCCTGAAATCGACTATTCTAACTTCATTCTGCCTAGTCAGGGCAGAAATATAGCTAAGATGATAATAATTGATAGCAGTTCCAAAATAATGTTTCAGGAGGTTTATGTTGTGGGGGGACACATCAGCAGGAATGCCTGTGACAAAGGAAATATCTTTTCTGTTCCTTCCAACCGATATGCAGAATTTAATATGTTTCTGGATCCTTTAGCAGCCAAGACAGTGTTTCAATCACAAGTTAACATCACACTCATTCCCCTCAGTGTTCAGCATCAAGCAAGTTCGTTTTCAAGTATGTTATGCTGGTTGCGTAGGACACAAAAAACACCTGAAGCTGTGTTTTCCAAACGTGTCTTATTAAGGCTACAACGTCTGAAGCGAATCCACCATAGATATCATCACATGGTATAACTTCATGACTTCAACGCTATATTTTTTGTAAAACTTTAAAATCATTTTAACATAATATCACCAGCTTACAAAGCATATAGGTTTTAACAAATTTGTAATTGGTATAATAATATATATCATTTGGTTTTTTACTTTGTTTCTGCTACTTACTGTGTTTATAATAATGTTGTAGGACACATTCTTAGGGGAGATTCTAGGTGCGGTAGTCCTAACTGATGGCTCTTCAAGTCTAGATGCAAAATTTGACGCCATGCCCATTAAAGTATTGGCCCAAGGGGATGTATCCATAGATGGGAAAATGGTGGTGGATGAGAAACATGGAAAATTAGTAAGAATTTTAAGCCACATGAATGCCAAGGCTTATCATGAGATATATGCAAACAGGCTAGGTGACTGGAACCAATCAGCGAAGGTAGGAAGCTTTGAAGAACAGAGAAGGAAATGGAGTCACCCACATGATACAATCTAGAGGGAACTTGTTCATGATTCCCTGTTAAAAGTAGCACATCTTTTTCTTATTCTATACACTAAATAGCTTTTTGTTGTGTGGTTGATATTCCTCCAAGTGTCCATGTAGACTTTCAAGTTTAATTATAAGAAACTTAGGAATAGCATAAATACTTAAAAAGAAAATACAAGAGACTAATACACTGATTTTGGCCGTCATCTTGTAATTACTTTTTATATTCCAACGTCATCTTGTAATTACTTTTATATTCCAACATGATAATTGTACCGACCACCAACTTTGGATGAGACAATGTACTACAACACATTATAAATTTGATATCTAAAACATGAAAAGGAGCATAAACTTTTAAATATTATATTCAAAGTTTAAAGACCCTGGCTATTCATTTGTCATGTTTCACTGTATTAACAGAAAACCACTATAAATTTTCTCCGCATGTGCGTGAGCGTGCCATTGGTGAGTTGACACCACTGTGGGGTTGGCATGTCTTATCTTGCAATAGGCATCCTAAGAATATCAACATCAAATTTCAAAATTGATCTTGTTTGCTGCTATGGGCATTCATTTTCTTTTGCGATTTACTCCATTATGTAGTAGACAAATGGACAACGCCACTACATCATGATTTGACTTGTATAAAATCATATCTTTTCAAGATTCTCTTATCTTGCACACCAATTTTAAATTAATTATTTGCCGTCCTCACCAGTTTCTTATTCCAAAATAAAGTGTCATTACAACTCCATTACCTTATACCCTACATTCTTTCAACCAAGGGATGACAACTAGCTTATACAACTATATTATTTCAACCAAAATAAAGTGATTTATAGACATTGCCATTTAATGCATCATCACCAATAGTCCACCCCATATCACTTCAGGGAAGTCTCTATCGAAGAATCATGTATTATTCCCCAAGGCCATCATATTTGTTAGAGTAATGTTTTGCTCACATCTAAATAGTTTACTTCTTGAAAGAGAAAGAATTGATATATAGTAATAAGTAATATGATATAACAAAAAACCTGGTGTCAAATTAGTGTCGAGGTATTTATGTGTTTATAACGGGTTGTATTTATCTCACCACATATTTCTTTCCTTGTTTGGTGGAGAAAAGAAAAAAAGACAAGTTCATTTAATGGTGCTATCATCCTTCATTAAAGCATGCAAGAGATTACAAATTATGAAGAGCCTTTTAGTGAAGAAAAAGGTACATTGGATGGAAACTTCTATCTTCATAAAAACTCATACATTCACCACATGACAAAAGATAAAAAGAAGGATAATCTTTTAACAAAGAGGATCATAATACAAGTATCTCTACAAACCCAACAAGCCACCCACTTTAGAAACTCAGTTGTGTCAGTTCCACCATAGGGATTGACCCACCGGCTGCCACAATCTGTTGCTCAAGCTGCAATAAGTATCCATATAAGAAATAAAAATTAAAAATCCAGAATGTAATAAAAGAATGTTATCCAGCTAAAGTTTTTAATCTAGTTACCCTGAACAGTGTTTCTAGCTTATTCTTGACAAGGCAGTACTCTTGCTTCACTTGTTGCAGACATCTGAGGCACCTGCAATAAATAGAAACTTTCCATAATCACACTATGAAATTAGTCAAACTAGCACCTGAGCATTTAACCTAAGCCCAAGTATCCATTCAAACTTTTGCACTAATTCTTCAAGAAGCCAAAACTATTAAACAACTTGTCTGATGATTAACAACTTACGCATCTGTGTTCTGCTCCTCACAGAAGTTGCGAAAAGGAATGCAGGCATTTTTCACCCTTTGTGCACCTATGCTGTGGACAAGACAAACAAATTTGTCTCAGTAAACCAAGAAAAGACAACACAGGTTTCTAGTTGGGAAATCCTAACCAACACCCTTGTGCACTTGTTAAGGAATCATTTTTTTTTACTATTGAGAAGTATAACAGTGCAGTTCCTCTTCAATAAAAACTTTCTATTCAGTATTCACTGATTCCTTAACCACTGCCTAAATAGCAAGACCCTTGATAGTGTTTCCAAATTAAGGTTCAGCTCTAAAGCTTGACTACTTTTTATGAGTATTAGAGAATAAAACTCAACTTGTTTAGGATCCAATAGTTACACAAGCATCGGAAGGACATGCCCATCACAGCTAAACGGCACAAAAAGTCCCATTTATTCAGATTCTGTGGAATTTTTTCACATTTTTGGGTGGTTTTAACAAAAAAAAAAAAAAAAAAAACTCATACCTTGAACTGCTACCCTTTAACTGGTGAACATGAGCATCAACTTTTTTGAAGTCAACGGCGTTCTGATCTCTGTAGAGACAGGAAAAGAAAAAACCCCATGAACATGGAAGATGATGCACTTTTGGAAAGTTGATGAATGCAGGAAATTGGAAAGGAAAAGGAGAGAAGGAGCACTGACAGGGCAAAAGTGAGATCTTTGAGAAGCCTTTCGGAATCTTCGAAGAAGAGAGAGACAACCTCAACGACAAAGTCAGGGTTGTTGTCATCTTGCAGCTGCTGAAGTTGCATGAACTGAGCATCGAGGAAGCCCTAATAAGAAAATGAAGAAAAATGGATCAAAAGGGTGAAGTGAAGAAAGAAAGAAAGAAGAATAGAAGAGATGATGGTATTGGTATTACCTCGAGGAAGAGGGATCTGGTGTAGTCCAACCACTGTCTCCGCATCTGACCCACTTCCATGTTCATCTGCTGTCACACAACGCTGCTTGTTATGTTATGTTATGTTATGTTTGTTTATTATTGCTCAATCAAAGTTTTAAGGTTAGGTTTTGTTGGGAGAAAGAAAGGGTTTTTATTCCTCTCTTTTCTTCTCTTCTCTGGTTTTGCTCTTTATTGCACCATTCCGACCCCACTCCCACTCTTCTTTATAGCATTCCTTGCACATAACTCATTCCCGCCCCTTCCATTTTTCCTTTTTCCACACCATTATTTTGCCCATCTTATAATCAAAAAACAATAATTATACTTATATTTCAAAGTATCATGTCAAAATATGATAGCAAAATGTGTAAACTCAAAATTTAGGTGATAAAGTTTACAAAATCATAAATATAAATGTCAAAAATTTTTAATTAAAAAATATAAATATATATTATTGCAAAAAATAAATACATAATTTATTAAAAATAATATATTTTATCACATTAAATGCATAATATTATAGTCTATAAAACAGATAAATCATATATATTCGATTTACTTTTATGATATTCTCTATTGTTCGATCAAATAAATATTTATATACGAGGTCATTTTCTAAAATTTTATTAATAATATTTTAATTTGAAAATCTTTATTAAAGTAATGGAGTCTAATATTATTTGGATCAAAATTTATTAATATATATATATATATATAATTTTTTAATAATAATTGTATATAGTTTTATTTTTTAAACTCTTTTTATTTTTATTTTTTTTTTCTATTTCTGTTTTCCTTTTTCTTCACATTTCCTATTATATCTCACTTTTTCTCTCTCACCACTCGAGATGAATAGAGTAATATACGACCCAAAAGGTATACAACCATCATTTCCATAATTTTTAAGGCCTCTCTATTTTTTAATTTTCTTTTACCATTGACTCCTTCTGAAAGGCACAACAACTATAAGTCCCTTTAGGATAATAATGGAGCGTAGTTAATTTATAAGTTTAAGGTTGAAACTTTTGTCTCTAATTTTTATAATATTTTTTCAGCGCTATTATTATTATCACCCTATTCACGCTCATATGTTATTTCCATATTTGGAGGACCAAGACATTTATATGCTCAAAGCACATGATATACATGAATATGGGGGCTTTCAATATGCAAGATTTTATTTTATTTTTCTTACCAACATCCGTGTGAATAATTTTATATGATTAAGGAACTTTCCAAAATTATTACAAGGTTAAAGATCGTTTATTGATATTTTTATTACATTGATTTTTAAAAGTCAGAATGTTATTCACTTTAGAGATTTTTGTCCTATCAACTTATCTAATGTCTTTTACAAGATCATTATTATTAGAAGGTTGATGAATAAAATTATTAGCTCGTGGTAGTGTAAATTTGTTTAGGAATGCAAAGCAGGGATAATGTAATTTTTATTCAATTTGTAATTCACACTATGTGACACAAGAGAGTGCAAAAAGGATGATGGATAAAAAATCTTAGAAAAAACTTATAATCGTTTAAACTAGGACTTTCCTAGACACCCTATTGGACATTAAATTTGGTTTCCCTTATATGAATATGGTTTCCCTCATATTAAAATGGTGAAGCTTTAGAGAAGTTCTCCCCATCTAAAGGCATATGAGATCCTTTTTCCTTATATTTGTTTGTCATGTGCATTGAGCAACTTTTTCATCTTGAGGCAATTATGGAGCATGGTCTTATAACTCTTGCTAAGGAGAATCCAAAGATCTTTCAATTTTTTTTTTTCACATATGATATCATCTTATTAGCTAAAGTTAGCTAACTTACAACAAGTTCACATTTTGAAAGCTTGTCTAGAGCCTTTTTTTTCTCTTTCTAAGATCTTGTCATGGGATGAATAATAATAAGACTCATGCCTTTCTCTCTAAAAATGATAACAGAATTGTTCACTGTCAATTAAACAATGTTTTGAGATTTGGTATGACCTCTTGTATTAAAAAGTTTGAGAGTACCTACCATTATTGAATGTTTTATTTTATCTAACACAAAAGTATGAATAATATAAGTCTGAGTTTCAAAATATTATTTTTTTAAGAAAAATAACTTTTATGAAATTATTGAAAAATTATATATTTTTATATCTTAATTGGTTATCAAGCTAAATCTAACAAAATACTTTTGTGTTAAAACTTGATTTTAGATCGATCTATTTAATTAATATAATAAAATATAATTAAACATAATGAATGATATATAACTTTTATTAAAATTATTTTTTTAATATAATTCTTATAATATTTACCAATAAATGTTATATGTTGTCGTGCATTACACAGGTTATAAAACTAGTATAGTTAAAAAAGAAACCTTCTCTAACATTATTTAGAATGCTTCTCAAAATGTGGCAGTGAAAAGGCTAGGAATCCATCAATGGTTGGACACATGGTTTTCTCAAAAGCTATTTTGCAAGCTCTCCTCGCCTAAAGAGTATGCAATCCATGTGGCTTCTGATCAAGGTGTTTCTGATTCATTAGATAAAAATCTCAAGATTTTGCGTAATTATGAAGACACTCATCAAAATTTAAAATTTCCAATAAATTTTAGTTCATAACAAAGAAAATATATTGAAAAATAAGTATTAGAGAAATATTATTAATAAGCTTCTACATATAAATTACTATCAAGATTATTGAGATATTATCATTATAGTTATTTATTATTTTATCAGTTAGTCATTATATTTAAGAGATATCATATCTTTTATATTAGGAGAGTATCATAACTCAATATTTGTAACGGTAACTTGTGATATATATTTATATTGTTAATCTAATAAATGAAAAACAACAGATTTTCTTATAGTAAATTTTATTAAACATAGATGATTATCTTGTGCAAAAATATTTTTAAGGATATTTCTTTGATAAGAAAATTTTTAGGAATTCTTTTGACATCATATCTAATTTAATTTTTATTTATTATAATTATTTATGAAGTAAATTTTAATATTTTAAAATAAATTATCAATAGATAAAAATAATCTTATTTTATAATATAAATTATTTATCATAAATATAAAATATAATTTATTGATACTAACATAATCTTCTTAAATAAGGTTTTGAATTCAAGTTATATATATATATTAAAAAAAAAAAAAAGATGGGTTGAAGATGAGACTCT